CAAAGTGATCAATCTCTATTGTATGTTTAACTTAAAATTCCTATTAGGAGTTGAATAATAAAAAGCGGAAACATCCAATCGATATTGAAGAAGATAATGAACATGACAGTACTTCAAATCAATTAGAACCGCATGAAGAAAATTCAGTAAAGAAAAAGAAAAGAAAACGAAGAAAATCAAAAAAAGAGTAATATAACAGTCAGAGGGCATGCACGCCGAGTGACAAATTATAATAAAAACTAATAATAAAACATATAAATTTACTATAAACTTTAAACTCCACATTATTTTCAACTTACAAAATTAACTTATTTTCAAATTTTGGGATTAAGCATATCGAAAATAGTAGATTAAGGTTATTTAGAACACTTTTTTAAATTTCTATATTTTCTTATCAGAGTTTTATGAAAAGAAAAATTTTTCTAATTATAAGGACGTAATTATAAAAAAATTTTATGTTGAACAAATTCACTTAGAAGGTAAAGATAGGTTTTCTTAGTAAAATAAAAAGTTTGATATATATAAACATTAAAATTTTTAGTTTATCTATGTAAACCTTTTTTTTTACTAAGACAATCTATTTTAACCACGTAATTCTACGTACTTTGTGTCTCGCCAAATTTGTTTTTATGAATTTTTTACCAAGTAAAATAAATTAATGTTACACAAAAGGTTTCTTTAAAGAATATTTTTGTGTAACATTAATTTAATTTTTTACTTAGCGTTAGCATTAGTAAAAAGTTCATAAAAACAAATTCGGCGAGACGCAACGTACGTAGAATTACGTGCTAAACAAATTTACTTTAAGAGATTAAAACAGACTGTCTTACAGTGGATTTTACGAAAAGCCATCACCTTTTAATTATAAAAAATTTTAAATTAATACAGTATACGTACTGTTCTAAATACAGAAGATACGTATCAAAAAAATTTTTATACATTTAATAGCTTTTTATTTAAACTATTAAATTTACAAAAAAAATTTTAAATATCTTTTGTATTTAGAACAGAATATAAATTTAAATTTATATAGTGATCAAAATTTTGGTGTTTATATATAAAAAATCAGAACAAAATTTAAATTTATTAACAAAATTTTAAAATTTATTAATAAAATTTAAAATTATATTAAGTTTTTGGCTGAATATGTTACAAATTGGCGCCTCTATAAAAAAAATATATTGGCTTTAAATAAAATCCACTGTAGTAAAAAAAAAAAGTTTTATATAAGCTAAAAATTTTAACATTTGTATATAGCAAACTTTTTATTTACTAAGAAAACCTATCTTTCCTTCTAAGTGAATTTGTTCAACATAAAATTTTACATATAATTACGTTTTTATAATTAAAAATTTTTTCTTTTCATAAAATTCTGATTACGTTTTTATAAAAATTCTGTTAAGAAAATATACAGTTTTTACAGAATTTTAAAAAAGTATTCTAAAATATGTTAATTTGTAAGTTGAAAATAATGTGGAATTTAAAGTTTATAGTAAATTTATATATTTATTATTAGTTGTTATTATAAACTAACACTCATATATCAACAGGTGTGAATGTCCTCTGACTGATAAACAGATCAGGATATATGACTTTAATTGGACTAAAAATATCCTTTTAACATTTGTCTCAATAGTCTACTATAAGGTAATTGTTTTTTTCTTTTTTATAAAAGTATTTACCTATCTCTATCCTATGGAAAATCTAAGAAATAGATTAAAATTTTCGCATCTATCAAACGTTTAAAAATACAGAAAACAATCCTAAAATGTCTTACCTATTAAAATTAAATAGTTTTCTTATTTTTCATATATAAAATTAAATCTGCTAAGTAAGTGCGGAATGGCTGACAATTGTGGGCCATAACGTTGTGCATTATCATAGAGTTCAAATAGTGGAACAGCGAGTAATTTCATATTTTTAGGAACAGACAGGACCTCTGGGTGAGAGTGCAATAAGAAATTGTTGTTAATATACAATAGATATAAATATTGAAAAGAAACCAAAATAAAATAAAAGTACTCTTTTCAGGAAGGTGAACCAAAAAGATCTTTTTTTGTTCCTTCGGTTTTGTTACATGTGCCGGAGTGTATGGATACTATTTAATGTAATACATATAAATATGTTGTAAATCACATTTTAATCATAAACTATGGTTTTTTTTTACCATACCATAAAAGTCTCAAAATTTGGTCGCCACCACACACTCAAGCATTCGCCAATTTCCCAGTCTTGATTAGTCGAAGTATTATTATTGTATCCAGTAACAACAGGTGTTAAACGTTCGTCTAGTCTGGCTTTTAAACCTTCAATTTCATCCTCACCAGGTTTTAAATAATCGCCAGGTCTATTTATAAATAAAATGTGAGAAATCAAAGTAGTATTATGAATTGGATCAAATCTTAAGCAAGCTTTAACTTACAATTTAAAAAAAGAATTTGCAATTTGTAACATTAACACATGAGGATGATTATGTTCATGTACCACCAACACACCCTCTACAGTCCGTCTCATACCGGTTACCGCATAATCATTTTGTAAACGCGCTAAACGTGCTGCCACTGAAGGATCTTCTTCCGGCTGTGCGTCTTTGGTACCAAAGGTATAATTTACTGCGAAATTTTTGATTTAAGTTCGTCAGGTGTTTTGGAAAGAAATACTTGAAAACAATTATACTAAATAATTTACTCAATAAACCTACTTAAAGGGTATCTGATTAGATCAACGAATTGTGGATTAATTGATAGGTACGCGTTTCATTAGACGAGAACTTAACACAAGTAAACGAATTTTCAATAAAATATAAAGGCACGAAGAAAGGCACGAAATATGACTTACAGCGTTACCGTTGGATTGTTTGACATTGCTGTTATGTTACGACAAAAAATGAATTTAGATTTGACTTGGGTAATGATTTGAAAGTTACGTATACAGTAGCAGTAGCGGATAGGATGGACATTTTTTTTTCATTAACCAATTTCGTACTACATGAACCTATTCTAGTCCCTGGCGGGGACCTGTCAAATTAATAATGTGTACGTAGTCAATCCAAAACGAAAGGACCGTTTATCTTCATGACTTTGGACTATTTTATTTGTCAATTATTTTTTTCACGAAGATTATTATTATATATATGTCGTAGGTAGGAACAAAATTTAAGTTGATTAAGGCTAGGGTTGGGATTTTTAATATAATTATTCTGTTCTAATCTAAGTGGAAGCTTTTTTTAAAAAGGCAACAAAATTATTTACTTGTGACTGCGGAACTGCAATTGTTAATTGTATATATATGACAAAGATCATGAGAATTACGTAACACAGGCGATCCATCACCTATTTATTCTCACCATTTCGCGTTTCCGAATACTTAACAAAACTCAACTTTCAGTGTTTCTGCCATTAAAAATGTCTAAGAGGAAAAATGTAAATGTAAGAGTGAGTGATGACGAGGAGTCTGATTACAAGGTTGTAAAAGTTACGCTTTATAGTTTCGTGAAAATTTTGAAGACGCGAAAACTAATGTTTAGTGTAGGCTAAGGATCAAGATGATTTTGAAGACGAAGCTGAGTCAGACAAACAAGAAAGTGATGAACCAAAAGTATATAGTTTTATTCTGCATTCCTCCACATTATTTTTATACATTGCTTTTAGAGCTTTCGTTTCTAATACAGTAATATATAAATATTTCAAATGCTTAGCCAAAAAAAAAAACCTCGAAAGCTAAAAAAGCAAAGACCAAAAAAAATGAAGATGAGGATGAGGACAGTGATAACAGTCCCCCTCCAAAAAAGTCTAAAGGCCGAAGCAATAAAGGCGATCGTGGAGAAAATGATCAGGGTGAAGCATATTTCAAGGTTAGAATAAATCATGTAATTCACCTTTTTTTTCCATATCTTATCAATTAAGAAAATTATTTATTCGTTAGCTCTCCGAGAAAAGACGTGTCACTGTTCGTGAATTTAAGGAGATGATTTTGGTCGATATTCGTGAATGCTTTAAACAAAACGGTGAATATCTTCCAGGGAAAAAAGGTATATTATTTAGCTTATCCCTTACCATCCATTCTGCCACTATTATTAAATGCTATTTTATGCTATAGGCATAAGTTTGCAAGTCGATCAATGGAACAAGCTTAAGGAATTTGTTGATGATATCGACGCCGAGGTCAAAAAGTTAGAAGAAAAGTTAGAATAATGATGTCATTTATTTCTTTATTACAGAAATATTCTTTCTCATTTGCTTTCAATGACTCATATGTAATTTCAACTTATTTTGTGAATTCGCTAAAGTATTTTGGTGATAGTTATGTGTTTATGCGACATCGATTTAATGTAACTACTTGAAACGTTGCCAATATTTGTATAAAATTGATCAAAAACAAGTGAATTTTGTTACGACAGTGATAACTAATTGGCCGCTAATATGAAATTGTAACACTGAGATTCCATTCATCATCTAGATATTAAGGATTATCTTTTGGAACATGTATAGAATTTTACTACCAAACTTTAGGAAGCAGTTTTTTTCCTGTTCTTTACAATAAACGTATTATCAATCATGACACTTTAAATTTGTAGAATATTGCCCAAATTCGAACTCTGATCAACCAAAAAATCTTTACCTAAACAATGATAATTATAGTCATGTGATTACTTTATTTACCCCATTATTTTTTCGGAGTTTGATATATGTATAGATATATAGTAGAGGCCAGCAATTAAATTTTATAATTGCGGGCTGGGCCAGACTAAATTTAATATAGCCAAATCTCTTTATAGTCATATCTTTGGAATACAAAAAATAGTAATTATACTGTATAAAGATATAACTAATATACTGTAGAGTATATTTTATGTAATAATTATTTTTAATTTTTATTAACTAGCCTCTTTGGGCCAACTAGCCACATGTGCAACTTTTGATTGCCTATTTAAGTAGTCTGCATTATGATATTATATTATAGGTTTTACACTAACTGTTATATCTACAACCCAATTAGAGAATTATTTATTTTATACATGCTATCAAAATAGGTTTTCAAAAAAATCTTATTTCGTCTTTATTAAAGTAAATTGAAATTTTTTATGCAAGAGTAGATCTAATTTAGCTAGTTATGTTCTTTATAATTTCATTTTTTCAAAAAAAAAGTATCAAAAATTTTGTTTTTTAAATAAAATACTGTAGATTAAAAAACAATTGTTTTCAAATTTTAATTTCAGGTTTTAAACTCTAAAATAATTTTGTCATGTATAATCTATTTAAATCCTCTGTAATGCAACCTGACTTGTATTACCAGTACATCTTTATTACAATCATCAGTTAAAAAGTTTCAGATACTTTCTTTAAAACCTTTAGGATTAATTTATCTTTGAAGTATTATTATTAGAGCTTTTCATACTTACAATCTATTTAATTTAGACTTCAATTTTACTAAGTTTAAGGACAAGTATTTGCAAGCTGAAGCTATTACTATTATCTACTTCTGTTCTTGCAGAGTTTACTTAAACTCTAGTACCTACTATACAGACTGTTATCTGTTTCTTTAGCTTTTTTAAACTTTTAATTTAGATAGTTTGGAAGGGTAACTCTCTCCTTTAGTTATCTGGGAATCTAATTAGTAAAGTGCTTTAACAAATACTTTGGTTCTATTCAGTTTTTTTAGTTTTCTAGATAATAATCCTTTATATAGTACTATTAAAGATCTGTATTATCTCTCTACTTGGGTCTTGTTAAACAGGCTTCTATTTCTTTTAATTTGTTGGTTTTATATAGTTGCTTTACCTGAGTTTGTGTAATTTGTATATCACACTATAGTTTTACAACTTCTCAATAATAGCTGATATGATCATATTACAAATACAGACTCAATAAAATATAGTTTATCTAATGCATTTTGTAAATTTGAATTTTATACTGATAAGATTTGAACTCTTATTCTGCTGTTTGGGATGTAACATCTTATCAACCACATTAAGTCACTATATTTTATAATTATAATTATACTAAAAATAATATTTTATCATTATAGAAAATTTTTTTCAGGATGTGGCAACTTAGTAAAGTTGGTAAGTTGTTGCACTTCTAAATGGCAGAACAAGAATTTGAATCCTATTGGTAACAAAATTTGAATTTACAGAATGTGTTATAGCAGATTGTATAATATATCAATCAGATTAGCATCTGTACCTTTGATTATACTAGCTCATACTGGAAGGTTGTAGAACAATAGCATGATGCATAAGTTATATGAATCCTGAGTAAAGCAGCCAAATTAATTTAAAGAATCAGAGGATATAGAAGTCTGCTTGAGAAGTTCTAAATAAAGAGGTAGTACAGATCTTTAACAGTACTATATAAAGAATTATCATCTGAAAAACCAGATATCAAAGGCAAACTGAATAAAAACTGAGTGTTTGGCAAGCACTATACCAACTAGGTCATCAGATAACCAGAGAAAAAAGATTCATTTAGAATATCAGAAGATGTCTACTAGTTCCTCTCAGACCATCTGAATTAGAAGTTTAGAACACTGATAGTTGGCATTGAAGTATTATTGATAGTCTGTAAAGTGGATACTGAGGTTTGAGTAAACTTTGCAAGGACAAGGAGTAATTGATGATAGCAGAGGTAAAATATCGCAAGTACTTGGCTGCAGTCGAGGCTGCTTTAGTAGGTTTATTATAAGAATAAAGAATCTTCTATATAGTAGTATATATCTGCTTTAAAGTCCTAAAGGGCTTTTATAACAATTCTTCTTCAGGGAAAATATCTGTTAATAGTACTAAATTAATCAAAAGATTTAATTGGATAATCCAAATAATAGTAAGTTATAGATACAGTATCTAGTATACACAGGTCGAAATTAAAAATATCATCATCATATCATCTAATATCAGCTATAATAATAGCAGACCAATAGGCTGTTAGCTTTAACAAAGATTTTTGATCATTTTATATGATATGTACTGATATTTTAAGGATTTTTGAATGTTTTAGAGAATTAAAATATTATTATAATATCATTTATAAAAATTTGATGATATTATAGTTATGAATTGTTTTTAAGCAATTTAATAATGATTATTTAATACCTTATGGGTACTAGTACACACATAAGGCTTCAACAATTACAAAATAACTTATGGTCAACTACTAATATTCTTCAATATCCACAACCCCTAATTGATGGATCAAACAAAAACACTACCACATTTAAAATCATACAACTACTTAACCAACTTCAACTTAGTATAAACACTCACACTAACTTTACACAAATTCATACACTTCAATACCCCTATACAACTATTGAAAAAATATTACACACACATAAACTTTACCTACCCTTCAAAAAACAACTATACACAAAAAACATTATATACCTTGAACAACTTACATCATATGATAACACATCACTACTTGACTGGTCGCATATCTCACCACGACTACATTACATCCCTACAGGTCACAAACCACTATGGTTTAAAACACTAGAAAACAAAATTATTACCGATCAACAAACCAGATTAATTAATACTCAACTACTACTATCCAACATGAATACTCTATCTTTCAGTACTGGTCACTATAAGACTAAATCCAAACCTTGGTTAATCTCATACAATAATAATAACATAATTCTAGAGAAAGCTAGAAGATACAATCACCACAATGACTCAATATCAATCACACACTGGCAAATTGAATTTGATTATTCCCACACTAATCTTTACCCACCACCTATATACACTTGTAAACCATGTGCAGGATGTTCATTAAACTCTAACCAAATTAAAAACATATGCACATTAAATGTCTCAGCCAGCTTATCTAACAAACTTTTATGCAGGAAAACAAACAACAATACTTCGAACAAACTCAATCTGCATGCTAATATTCTGGACTCAATATACTCAATTGCACTATGTAATCCAACTACAATACCAAGACTACCAACAGTTACAATCTATAATGATGCAGTATTCGAAATCTTTAAGAACAACTAACCTTCACAAACCCTGCAACAAATAGCAACGAATAATTTAGCACACACACAACTAACTTTTTACACAGAAGGATCAGTTAGTGATATCACTACTGAGCGATGTACAATGGGTATAGGCTGGGTTCAAACAGCTGACAACATCGTATTACACAGTTATTCTGCTGCAATTCAACTTTGGCTCTCCTCCTACAAAGCTGAACTACTTGCAATCCTTTCTGCAATTTGTACATGCCCACGAAACAGTAATATTACCATCTATACTGACTCACAATCTATAATATCTAAGTTCAACAAACTCGCTCAACAACCACCTGGACCAAACAAACAATACTCATATAATTATTGGCCAATTTGGCATACACTTTTAAATCTGATCAAATCCTACAGATTAAAAATTAAACTTCAAAAAATTACAGCACACAGCAATAATACATTTAATGACCTAGTTGACAGTTTAGCCAAAAACCATAATCACACAACTAATCTTGAATTCTTACACAACAATATTTATAATACATCTTATTACTTACAATATACAACATATGCATTTGAGCAACCAACTTGTAGATCTATTAAAAACATCTGTAACAGTCATATAATAGCATTATGGTCCTCCCAACACCGAATGGAAAACATTATACCCTTTACAACACAAATTGATTGGAATGCCACCTGGCTTTACTTAAACAACAATCAGAAAAAATCATCCTTCTATACCAACTTCAAACTCTGCCAAGAAAGAACTTTCAAAATTAAATTCATGTTTAACATACTACCCACACTTCAAATCTACATACTCTATACCCCCAATACTTCCCAGACATCAACTGCATTTCATGTAATGCTCACGAAGATCAAATGCATTGGCTCTTATGTTCAAGTACACCTAACTTAGATACAATCATTACTAACACAATACAACAATATTTGCAAGCCTCTAGACTTGACATAACAAACACACAATGCCAAGAATTACAGAACAAACTTATCCATCATCCAAGCTTATCACTTAACCTCTATACCAGAACTAACACAAATATATTCATGACTCTACAAGGATTCATACCTTTTATACTTATACAAACTATCAGAGAGTATACAGACTCTAACAAAATAGCAACAAATATCACTATTCAACTACTCTTACAACTATCTCAAAATATATACAACTTAATCTGAAAACCATATT